TTTAGTGAGTGGAGAGTGAGCATCAAGACGCGAGGAAGTGAAGATGGCAAATGTAGGGTCCTGGCGATCTTACAGAAATAGTATTTGGCTTTTGGTGACTAATGACGATTTCAGGGTAACACACAGTGGACTACATGCCAGCTGTTATCTGCTGGGAGAAAAGCTTGGGAGGAAAGGACATTTATTTGTGGACAGGTATTTGTGTCTGTATGAGTACTGATCTAGGCAAGATAACTGATGTTTTTACCCATCTCCAAGGCCTCAAGGAGCATGATAGTCCTGAGGCCTAGAGCTTGCCTGCTACTGTGTAAAGCAGGCATATCCTCTTTAGGCCCATGCACCATCTATCCAGCCCTTGGTTCCTCTGGGAGGTAGGGGACCAAGCCACATATAGTAGCACTACAAAATGGGAGCTTTCATCCATGTGAATCTAGGTACCTAGAACATTCTTTATTTAGTTTTTCTTTTCTTTTAATGTTATATCTTTTAAGAGACAAGGTCTTGCTCTGTCACCCACTTGAAGTGCAGAGGCACAATCATAGCCTTGAATTCCTGGGTTCAAGTGATCCTCTGCCTTAGCTTTCCAATAGCTGGGATTATAGACACAAGCCATGGTTCCTGGTTAGTACATTCTTGCATGCTATTTATTTATTTTTATTATTTATTTTTTTGAGATGGAGTCTCGCTCTGTCACCAGGCTGGAGTACAGTGGTGCAATCTCGACTCACTGCAACCTCTGCCTCCCAGGTTCAAGCAATTCTCCTGCCTCAGCCTCTTGAGTAGCTGGGACTACAGGCACGCGCCACCACACCCAGCTAATTTTTCTGTTTCCAGTAGGGATGGGGTTTCACCATGTTGGCCAGGATGGTCTCAATCTCTTGACCTTGTGATCTGCCCACCTTGGCCTCCCAAAGTGCTAGCATTATAGGTTTGAGCCACCACACCCAACCTCTTGCATGCTATTTTATAGATGTGAGGCTGAACAATTTCATGTTTAGGACTGGAGGTACCTCCAGGAACTATAATTAAGCATTTAAAAAACATTTTCTTGGTTGGGCACAGTGGCTCACGCCTGTAATCCCAGCACTTTGGGAAGCTGAGGCGGGTGGATCGTGAGGTCAGGAGATCGAGACCATCCTGGCTAACATGGTGAAACCCTGTCTCCACTAAAAATATGAAAAATTAGCTGGGTGTAGTGGCAGACGCCTGTAATCCCAGCTACTCGGGAGGCTGAGGCAGGAGACTCTCTTGAACCTGGGAGACGGAGGTTGCAGTGAGCCGAGAGCGCACCACTGCACTCCACCGTGGACTCAAAATATATATAAATATAAATATATATACAAATAGATAGATATATATACATATAGATAAATATATATATTTTTTTTTTCTTGTCTCTCTGGGGATACAAATACCTTAGAACAGAGCCAGGAGCAGTGGTGCAAGCTTGTAGTCCCAGCTACTTGGGAGGCTGAGGCAGGAGGATTGCTTGAGTGAAAGAAGGAAGGGAGGAAGGGAGGAAGGAAGGAAGGAAGGAAGGAAGGAGAGAGAGAAAAAGAAAGGAGGAAAAGAAAGAAAAAGAAAAGAAAGAAAGAAAGAAAGAAAAAGAAAGAAAGACCTTAAAACATGTACATTTCTGCTGGGCGTGGTGGCTCACACCTGTAATCCCAGCACTTCGGGAGGCCAAGGTGGGCGGATCACGAGGTCAGGAGATTGAGACCATCCTGGCTAACACGGTGAAACCCTATCTCTACTAAAAATACAAAAAATTAGCGGGGCGTGGTGACAGGCATCTGTAGTCCCAGCTACTCGGGAGGCTGAGGCAGGAGAATGGCGTGAACTCAGGAGGCAGTGGAGGTTGCAGTGAGCCGAGATCACGCCACGGCACTCCAGACTGGGCAACAGAGCAAGAATCCATCTCAAAAAAAAAAAAAAGAGAGAGAATGAAAGTACACTCCACAGTATGGGAGTGAGCATGAGCATAGGGGCTCAAAGGCCCTGTTACAGAATTTTTGTGAGTTTAAATACCCTCTACTTGGGGAACGCCCTATGTAAATGAAGAGGATGAAGTAAAGTTACAATTATCAAGTTATTAACGATGTATGCCCTAGGGAGAGGATATTTCCTGTTACAGCTGAAGTGTGAATTGGCCTTATGTTCCCTGCCTCCAGACCCTATTTTCCTGCCTCATCTGCCCCCTGAGATGTGATCTCCATCAATCTTTATGGGAGGCAGAGGGACACATGATCTTTTTTCTGTAACTGCTTCATGCTGGCTTGGGGGACGGTCCCTACCTATTGGGGATCATGGAACTCTCACCCTGCTCTGTCTAGTGGAGGCAGGGTAGCTTTTTGAGGGCCGGGGGTGGTGTCTTCACTTGGAACTGGCTGGAACCTTTGTTGCATGATCAGCTGAAGCCTGATGGTCTCTAGGCAAGAGGAAATGAATTTGGTTAAAACATTTAATGGGAACTGCAGGGGGTGGATACCT